ACTAACAAAACAAGTTTTTACCACAGAAAGTGATGTGTAAGTAGATTGATGAGCTTGAAGTAAAAGTGATAACACTTTCCCAAAGGAATATTAACTCAGCACCCTTTTTAAGAGTTCAATGTCTCTTTAGCGTGAAATCAAATCTTCATGTTTCCCATCCGACTGTTTCCTGCTGAACAGTTACCTGATCATGTAAGAAAGCGAGAAAAGTTCCTTGTATACGATAGACTTTTCGATAGTCTACATTACGAGAGACTCTTCGCAAACCAAAAATAGTGATAATCATCTGAGACAGATAGCGGTAATACAATATACATATAATTTTTTTCCTTTTTGTCTTTCCTTTTTTTTCAGGTGGAGTTATGGCATCGTCCTACATGAGATATTCACACTCGGTAAACGAAATTTTTTCAGGTTTTTGGGAGACTTGGGGTTATTTGGACTCCAATTTCAAACGTCGTCATATTTTTTTTTCGGAGTAAAAACCGTGAGATGGCGGAGAAAGCCTGAGGAGAACACGATATCAGCCTAACTAAGTCACTTCTTGTCGAGGAGGCCTGAAAATCACCCGTGTGCTGATTATAGACTGTTAAACTGGAATTTCAAGTGCGATCGTGGGGGGCTGCTATCGAACCTGCAAACAGAAAGTATCATTGTGATCATTCGGGTGTGGGTAGTCCTGGAAAGAACAATGCGAGCGAAAGTCATCATCAGAGGTCTCTGTGACGGAGATTCGAGGATGTTGATAAGTCAACCATTGTCACTGACAACAATCCTTTTCAGAACTACTATAATCCGGACGTGTAGACTACACAATCAACTGCTGATTTCAAACCTTTCACTCTACTGAAAAGAAAATTTGCAAGTCTGTTATTACTCAGTACTATCTTTTCTACAGAATCTTTTTCTTCAGCTTTCTGGGAGCTGACATCTTCGCAAGCATACAAACAAGTATTTTTTTCTGGGTCAAATACGCAGTATTTTTTATCTTTGCAGGGGGGAACCCTTACGATGGAATGAGCGGACAAGAAGTATTTACATACGTGTCGCATGGTCATAAATTGCGAAGGTCGTCAGGCGTGAGCCGAGAATTGTACGTAGAATCACGTTCCAGCTAGATTCAAACTTATGAATATACCTCACTTATGAATAGGCCTATTCATAAGTGAGGCCCAGAACCCTTTTGGATTAATAATAATTAATAAATAATTATAACGGCTGATCAGAAGAAAGAAAATGTCTCAAAGAGCCAATCAGACCTTAAATTAAAAACGAACAAACTGCCCAAAGCGCGGGAAAACGCGGGTGATCAATTCGTGATTGCTTTCAGTTTTGTATTTGATTGGTTGAGAGATGCGTAAGTTTTCTGAACCAATCAAATGGCAAAGTAAAGCAAAACCAATATAATCCGGATAAATTTCGACAATCAGTTGAAAATTGCTGCATTAAAAGCTATAGTTGATTAAGTGCATATATGGAAATAATGCTCCAAAAGGTTCTACTGATCTGAGGAATGTATTTTTATTTTACCTTGCGCTCGTATTATTGAGGCTCATTGCCACACATGTCATTAAAACACCGGATTTTTGACCCAACAGTTCAAATCGTCATAATATTTGTTTTTTTAACAAGTCGCTGGTTATATCGAGTTTTGGTGAGTAAAGACTGACTCATGACTTCACAGATATCTTTAATTGGTTACGTCTGTGTTTACATTGTAAATCACAAATTCCCTTGAATTTATAGCCGTTTTGATAGTTGGATTTTTGGTTTTACCCCGCGAAAACTGATCAAATTGATCATTAAAGCAGAAAAAGGCAATGCTTCTACATTCATTCGGACAAGTTATTATCTTGACAACATAATCACTTGATTCCCACAGGTATAAATTGATGCTTCGGTGCTGGGACCAAGAGCCATCCAGGCGACCGACATTCGAATCAATTACGTCTTGGATGGAAACTTAAACGCATCCTTTCTGTACAAAAATTCGGAATACCTCGCAAATTATAAGCTAGGCGTAATGTATATCAATGAACTTTTACCTACTAACAAGGTTGGAACAGAAAATACTTCAATACCAACAGGGAATGGAAGTCTTGATAAATTTTTCTGGCTTTAAATTACCATGTTAGCAAGAGAAGATAATCCTTTCTTGATGTTAATCGCGGTTCAAGGTTTTTCATTTAGTTACGTTATCAAGCAAAGAGGTTGGAATCAATTATTGTCTATATTTTTACATCACAGAATCGATACAAATAACAATTCCTAGGTTGGACGGCATTCATATAGTAATGCTTATGTTTGTTTTATAGCTGTACAAAAAATAGGAAGATTTTAAATATATTATTATATGAAAAACTTTATTTCTAAGTTAAATACGGTTAAAAGTATCATTCGTACAAATAAAACATATGAAAATCTCTTAAACTGGTTTACATATTGGTGAAAAGAAAAGTTAAGTTCACTTGGCATGAACAACATGGAGAGATTTTCACTAACTCCAAAAGCCAAACATGTCAGTCAAACCCTCCGCAGTGTATCTTGGGTAGTGTCACCGATTTCCGCTTTAATCAAATAACACTGGGTGGCCGGTTTACTTTGGCTCCTGGGGAGGCCACAAGACTGAGTTGCTTCACAAATGAAGCTGAACATAGGAATGGAAATGATCAAGAAAACACTGCCGTAGAATCTAAACCTGGAAGTCCCTGCCATGGTGGTGGTCCAGGAAGGGGGAATGGTGCGAGCTCAACCAGACCTATCTTCCTTCAGTTTTTGGACTCAAATATTTTTTTCTTTAATGCCAACCAGAAAATTTACTTCTGGTGTGCGCCATTGAGGAATTCTCCATCAGAAAGTGCACGCAAACAGGTTTTCGTCACTTTAGTCGCCTCACAACTAACTCAGATATCCTACTTTACACTAGGCTGAGTTTCTTATGCTATGCGAAAATTGATGTCTTGATATACGGAGATGCTTCCAAATTTTGTAAGGGTGTTGCGGATAACTAACCGCGAGCTTCTCGGGCTAATATATACCTACTCCTTGGTTGAGCTCATGTAGTTTTCGCCTGAGCCTTTCCAAAGGTGGGTTTCTGTTATTTGCGATTTGTTTGGTTTAATCAAGTTTGTTAATAATGATCTTTCAGTTCTGGAATAATTAACCTTTTTGATATGAATTTCATTTAACGAGAAAGGCCTAACAGCATCCGGCATAGAACTTTGGATTTTAAAAACTCTGCTCTACGCCAAACGTGCTGCGCTGCTGAATTCTTTCCCCATTAAAGCCCATTACAGACCAAAACACATGGTTGGTTTTTGAAAAACATTTTCAGGTGTCTTGGATGCATGAATTCTCCATAATAGTGATCAGAATTTCATACTCCCGGTAATATTAACCCGTTGTATACATGATATCGCCAATCAGCTGCTGACACGTCACTCACCTTCCGCGTCACTCAGTCAGGTTGATGAATGAACAGCGGAGCCTTCAACATTCTCAATCCGAAGTCGTTTGTTGGAATTTTTTCAGATTATGGCTACCAAAACACTGAGAAATCCGTATTACTTACAGAAAGCGACGTTCAAACTTTCCTAGAAGGGGAAGAAAACCAAAATACGGAAAGAAAAACCGAAAGTTGCGTATTCAGTGGCTTAAGTAATGGCATTTCTCGCGGCTGAGAACGAAAATCGACAACTGGAATATTTGTCACCAGCCGCTTTTTGGCCGTGTACCTGAAAGATTTCTTCTGTCGGTAAGGACCAAGTAAATAACTAAGAATTTTGCATATTGAAAGTTAGGCCCGTTGTTTGTTTTTGCAGTGTTTCAAATCATTTCTATTTTTTTTTTAATTTTAAGGCTTAGCGCCCACGCACTTTACGATTTTTATTCGGGGATTGTCGATCCTTTTATTTTCATCTGTTAATTAAGTCGACTTTTCTTGTCAGTAAAGGGCTATTGCGTTTATATGATAAACAAAATAATACATGGTTGATTGTAGATATGAAATTTTTCTTCTCGTGCTCAACTCGACATCTCACTCGTGAGCTATCAAGCAAACGTTCGAAGGGAGATTCCATATCTACGCGAACCCATGTAATTATTCTCTATGTACTGTTTAAATTTCTGCGAGATAAAATTCACAAAACCAACACTGAGAGATACTTTGGCCTGGAAATAACGTCTAGCAATATATTTGCTTTGTTATACCTTTGTCAAGCCAAGCTTTCATTTCCTTTGTTTTCATTTCCTTTGCATTGAGGGGAAAAAAAAAAGCCAGACGCATTCTCTCGGTCAGGTTCGCCTCATGGGAAAAATAAAAATAAAAAGCGTAATGGAGTAGGATTTCGGATCAAAACCTTCTGGATTCTGGATTTTTAGCTCCTGAGACAACTGAATTTGTCCAATTCCAGTCATTTGTATTCCAGATGTCAATCCTTGTGGCTTCGAAACTTAAGTCTTTATGTTTTTTGAAATTTTTGTCCCTCTTTGGCAGACTATTTGATAGTTTTCTTGTTTGGAAAGAATAGACATAAACTTGTACCTTTGTCCTTCAGACTGGTAGTTCACACCTTTGAGGAGAAGGTTTCTTGTATTCAACCATAACTGAAGAAGACAGACGTTCATATCGAAAGGGAAGGACACTGTTGAGATCTCTCTAAGTTTCTCGAGCAGCATATGGCCCGGAAGCTGAGTATTCAAGCCGTGAACGAGCTCAACTATAAAGATTTTATTTCAACCTTCGCAAATGTTGTCGAACACACGTCTCTTTGCGCGGCTGCCGTTTGCACCAAGGCGCCGTTTTCATCCTCTGAGAGTTTCGTCACTGAGATCTGTCGGTTTATTGACAGTCTGCCAGACGGCGCAAAAGCGGGAATCCTGCGCAGTTATCAGGATCTATTTGATCGTTGGGAATCTTTGTCAAGTGAGTCCCAGAGAGAGCAGACGGAGGCTGATATTAGATCACTCGGCGCCGAGGAGATAAAGCTTTTGAAAAGCTACACCAGACTCTACAAAGAGAAATTCGGCTTTCCGTTGGTAATTTGCGCTCGTTTAAACAACAAAGAGACGATTTTGGAACGGATTAGAGAGCGTCTCAGCAACGATAGCTACCAGGAATTAAACAACGGGATCAAAGAAGTGAAAGACATAATGGTTTTGAGAGTAAACGACGTGGTGAACAGCGAAACTTCTAAAATCTAATCCACGTATACTCCGGTTCAAATGACCTGTTCCAAACTCTCAGTAACCATGTTCAATTTTCCACCCACCGATTTAGGTTTCATTTTAGCGATTCCAGTTGTAAAACCTTAAAGACTTTTTTAAACGCTTTTTGAGTTAGTCAGAAGAAGTTTCTTTTTTGTCCAATGGGATTGACCTTATTGTTAAGAAATGACGAGGTCTGATACAAATTCTTTCACCTGCCGAGGATACCATGAAAGCCCAAAATAACTCTTAAGCACTACCTTTTGTGGATTCATTGATGAGTTCAACGGGATGAACTTTCCGACGTTTGGCTCACTTTTAGAATTTCGATTTGATGAATCAAGCATTTGGCTAATCTATAAAACATTCGCTAATAATAAACTAATCTTAATGTACTCAACTTTTCAATAAACAGAAAAAACTTCAGCCTGATAAATTGAAATTAGAAAATGAAGCTCGCAGAGTTTCAGTTCATAAAATCAACAAGTCGAATTTGATATGCCTAGTACGTGGATACCTTTTAAATTCTAACCATTAGCGAGAAAGATCAGTTGGGTTTTTCACTTTTGGGGATCAAGTATCTTAACACGTGGTTAAGTAAAAAGAAACATTGATAGAGTGAATCGCACAACAACGTTTTTAATGGTATGATATGACTAAGGAGCCATTTTCCTAAGTTATGCACTTTTCCTGGCAGTCAGTAAGCGAGGAAGATCTAAATAAAAAACAAAGGCACTGTTCGCTTAAGCAATGGACGACCGCTGTGACTCTCTGCTGGTTTGCCGGAGTAGTAACCCATGAACAATAGAACAGCTTATCTACTTACTTACAAAATATTGCCGCGGACACAAAAACAATTCGGTGATCGATTAATCAGAGCGCAAGTTAAGTCTTAGTTATCTTAAAAACCTTTAAATCATTATAAATTATCAGTTGCTATAACTGGCACATGATTGGATTGGATATGTTAACATAAACCCTTTTCAGGCATCCTCCTGTGTGTTTTGTTCATCTCTCCCTGCTTCACGTTTCAAACATAGGAGAATAAATGGAAGGAGAGACCCAACCACTCCAACTCCACCAGCTACAATGAACGCAACGAAGTAGTTACCGAATGTGTCAGCCATTAGACCTGATAAGAAAGATAACAACAAAATGTCTTGAAAAACAAAATGGCAGGCGTATGAGATGTCTTTAGTCTGGGTAATTTGGTATTATCAACCGAGTTGATAACGTAAATTGGCCACTATAAAGAGTTTCAAAGCTGACGTTTCGAAACGCTCGAAACGTCAGTTTTGTAACTCTCTACTATGGCTAGTTTACGTCATCAACTTAGTTGATAATACTAAATTACCCTGCTATTCTCTCCCACCGACGCAACACCAAGTTTCTTTCGAAACTTACCCCGTTAATTCATTTGTCTGTGTATTTTGAAGTCCTTCAAACATCAGAATGCCACGTTTGTCTCTCTAACGACCCATCTGCCTGTTTGACTCACTTCAATTGTTGTTGATATTTTCAAAAGACTCTTCATTAAGATTAAGTAACCAAAGGATGTACAATTCGATGGTTCCAAAGTTTTTGTCATGGATACGAGAGCCAAAGGGGAGAATCTTTCAACGCTGTTAAAATGCATACTCCAACAACAGCGGCGTCTCATAGGAGTTTAGAAGCTTATCAGGATACTCTATTATTATCGGTTATGACTTTTCCGGAGTGGGAGGGAGTCGCCATAGGAGCACATCTCATAATTACCCTTTATATAGCTTGTAAAGGGAGGGGGATACATTCTCAGCCCCCGGAAGGGGGTTAAGGGTGAAAATACAAAATTGGTTCCCTACCCGACAAAGGTGGACCGATCAAGGCAGAAACTCCGGAAAACAGCATCAGCAATCCAACGGCGGAAGCCTTTTCATCTTCCTTTACGGCTTTTAGGATTTCAACTATCATTGAAGTAATCATCAATCCATCCGCTGAACTGAAAAAGATGGCATAAGTGAATACACCAAAGTAAGTCTTCGCCAGGGTCAAAAGCATAGTGGAAGCTGCCATAATGAAAATAGCTGCCTGAAGCAGAAGGCGGCTGTTTACGAACTTCAAGTCGCACAGGAATCCTCCTCCGATGCGGCCAAGAGAGGCAAATATGCCGATAACCATATAAATTGTCGAGCTCTTGTCAGCCAAAATACCAAGGTCATCACAATGCTTCATCTGAAAATGCCCGCAAATGTAAGTTAGACTATGGAAATCAATGATAATCAATAGGTTAATCTGAGTTGTACACTGAATAATCAGAAATCAGACGAAGACGAACAGTGCATCTCCAGCCCTATGCTAAAAATTTCGTTCAAAAGTCGGCGTAAATTAAGACGACTTAGAAACCTAAGAACTAGAGGACTAGACGACTTTTAAGTCTTAAAAGAATAGTCAACTAGTTCTAGATACTCACGAGATGCACATATGGGACCAGGCGAGAGAACATGTAGGCTACTGCTGTTGTTACCAGTACTAGGATGGTCGAATTCTTAAATAACGATAGATTCCAGCTCCATTTTTTTGAGGAACAATTCATGTTTCTTTCTTGCGATGATGGACTCTGATGAAGAATAACTCCAGTCAGGGATGAAACAGCCAAAAGACCACCAAACACCCGAAAGGTGTTCCTCCACTCTAGAACGTTAACTGCCGCCTGAAGAGAAGGACTAAGAATCATCGTTCCTAATCCCTGTCCTGACGTTACTAGTCCGAGAGCAAAGGATTTTCTTTTATCAAAGTAACTGTTCACTATAATTGCTTCCGAAACGAAGATCAGCGACTGACCCATTGCAAAAGGTATGCTGAAGGTAAAGTAGAGCATATGAATAGTGGAAGCAAAGGAACCCAATGTGACGCCAAGAGAACATAACAGGCAGCCCAGTATTGTTGTAACTCGAAAGCCAAATTTGTTGAGGAAGGCTCCCATTACAGGACCGAGAATCAAATTTACGCCATGTATGATCGATGCTACCCAAGCTGGAAAACAAAAAAAATTCTAGTTACCATCATTACAAACATGTCTCTAATCAGTAATCTCCTCCTAAAATCAAGGTTCTATTGTTATCACGCAATTTTTAGCTGTGTGATACGTACTTGCATTATTAAGTGACGAGTCAAGTATCATCAAGAACCAGGTTTCCAACCTTTTTAGAACCCACTCTGCTGAGTTTTTTGTTCAGTTTTTCACAGGGCGATTGGGGGTTTTGCTACTTCCTTATCCACTGGTAATGGACCAATCATGACGCGTAGATTGTGTTTGAATCTGAAATTATGCTGTTAGAGAGAGTGCTTTGTTCATTTAAGCCAAATATAGGGGTTCATTCGGCAGTTTGTTTTTTGCTGTTTTAGCAGCCCTGTCCAGATTTTTACTTTTGTCTCAGATCCAAATATATATTAATAATAATATATATTTAATAACTACAAGTGTGATCGAGCTTAAACTTTACGAAAGATCACAAACAGCCCTTATTGTTACACCTGTTCAGTATTACATAAACTGACCTGTACTTTCACGATTTTCCCCGAAAGAGTTCATGAAAACGGGAAGAAGAACGCCAAGAGCACTGCTAAATCCAATAGTTAGAATCACGCACAAAGTTGTGAGCCCACAAACAAACCATGACCACAGACTATCTTGCTTGAACGTGACAATAATACCGCCGAAGAGATTCATAGTGATACCAATTTCTGACCAAAAGGGTCTGGTCTCCTCTACCCCTTTACCTTTGATGTGCCACCACAAGGAGCTGTCACAAATATGTTATCCTACTACAAAGACTTTTGCTTTTAGAAGTTCAACTGGGCGAATATTCTTGCGGTTGGACCTCCTATGACAAAACAAAATAGTGTTTCCGCTCATGATGAAAATTAAACCGTGAAAGAGTTCTTGCGGTCCAAACATCCGAAGAAGTTCTGAAACTTCATCCACAGAGATGTTCTTGAGTTTCGAACATTCTGCGCCAAATGAAGTTCTCCAACATATTTGAAAAACTTTAACTGCTAGGAAGAACGCAAAGAAAAAAGAAAGTTCATGCGCGTTGATTAACTACTGAGAGCGCCGAACCGGAAATGTTTGGCTCGAGATGATCACGTGCAGTTCGAATGCAGCGAGGTCTGTGCGTTATGACAAAGAGCCGGATATTTCACCTTCCGGCGCCACTTAACTCAGTCAGCTAGCCAGTCCATGATAGTCATCTGAACTCTCACTATATATTAAAGTATTAAAAAATTTTTGAATTCATTTTTAAAACTAAATAGGAAACGATCGTGTATATAAGAAAGGTGCGCATTGAACTACAGCAATAAAAAACTTTTCCTTCTTTCCTCAAGAAGAGTCAGAACAAGAAACTCGTAACTTCATGAAGAACGTGACTATTTCCTTTGTTAATGTTTCAAGTCATGTTTGAACCTAAATGGCACACTTGACCTACATGAGACGGAAGTGTACTGAATAAACAAAGAAATCATATGAGGAAAAAACCTTTCATGTACTATTTCAAAAATAAGTGCGGGGGTTTCATCAGGGTTTCCAAACACGAGAAAACTGATGAAAGTACGAAGTCGCAAACCGAGTGCTTTTATTGTTTTCGATTGTTTGGAAACCCCGATGAAACCCGATGCACGAGTTTTTGAAATAGCTTCTCAATCACGCCTCAGGAATAAAATAAAATGGAAATATTCACGAATTTTTCACATGTTGTCGGCAAGTTTGTTGTTACGAAAAAATGTATTGTGATGGTGATTTGTCTTTTCAGAAACGGTATGAGAAATGTTATCACACCGCTGTGGATGATTATAAAAAACAAGTTTAACTGTATTCTTCATTCTCTTCTGCAATGGCTTTATCACATTTTCGGCAAGCAAGATATGGAAAGAGGCCAAGTTGTTAAAAAGTGACGTGTTTAAGTCCACTCGTTACAAAAGTAAATGGGCCTCTGGAATATTCGAACAATGGCAGAAAGAGGGATTGATACGTGTTAATAATATTCAAATTAAGAAAGGAGTTCACTGGAGCTTGATGCTTTATCAAACTCAAGGGTTTGATGTTTTCTGAAACTCATGGATAGCACGTCATTCCAGTGTTTAACCGGGGTTTCAAACCACATGCACGTGACTAAATTGGCGTGTCTTGGTTGGATGATCACCTTATGAATAATTAATTAGTTTGAAAAATATTTCTTCACAAAAAGTCAAAACAAGTAAAATCGAAAACGCTCGACTTATTTTCTCAAGTCTGTTCTCCTTTTAGTTTACGTCCACCGTTAGAATTTACTTTCTTGGAAAATGCAACGGAGCCGTGTGAGTGCGAATCTGGACGGCCTTTAATTTCAAGAACGGCCTAAGTCAATCCGTCCGGCCCTGCACACAATAGCGTTTAGGATGGCGTGAGCGGGGCCGTACGACTCATAGATAAAAGATATCTACGCGGGCGCTTCCTTGTGCCATTTCAGATTAATAGCTAGGTGAGGGCCAGTGAGCGTCATTCAAATACTCAGTATATGCTCTAAATATAGACAGTTTTTAATGGCTGCTACTTTGGTGCGATTAGTCTACTAGTAAGGACCTTTCGGGAAAAATTTGTTTCAAATAATTTACCGTTTATCTGTTGTGTGCATGACCAACCAAACTGGTCTAAATATGGAGAGAAGTGCAAACGAAATTTGTCTCTCAATTATAACTGACGATGCATTTAATAAAGTTTTATCCATGCGATAGATAACTAGTTAGAGGTTAGAGTTTCCGTACGCAACCAAATCTTTCATTCTAAGCATTACTTTCTTTTTCACTTCTTCGATTCCGTGTTTAAGCTCCATGTTCTTATCACTGGTCAAACGCGCTCGAATCTGCTTCGAGTTAGCTCCCTTGTTGTTCAGACGAGAGCAAGTCACGAACGGAAAGTCAAACTTATTTTTGTACATCTTGTTTAAATCTTCCATCTCCTGACTTTCTTCGCTACTAAGGGATTTGATCCGTGCGTAGGCTATCTTATTACCTTTAGTTGTGATGATACATACGCTGGTGACAAGACGAAAAAAAGCATCTTTCTCCATGTATTATTTTGTTTATCATATAAACACAATAGCCCTTTACTGACAAGAAACGTCGACTTAATTAACGAATGAAAATAAAAGGATCGACAATCCCCAAATAAAAATCCTCAAGTGCGTTGGAGCTGAGCCTCGAGTTTAGAAACTTACCCTAAATTAAATGGCAACTTTAAAAATGATTTAATTTCGTAGCTTTTTACGAAACGTGATCTGAATATATCAATCATACCTATGGTGATAAAGAACTACGTAGATGCTAACAAGTTTGAAGGCCGGATATCCAAACAATTAAATGTAGCATAACATTCAATTTCCTCTCTTGTTTGAAGGGTCAGTTACTTAAATAATTTGACTGGCAAAAAATTTCATAAAAGAATTAGTTGAGCGAACATAACATAGAACATTAAAATTGGTATGTTACGTTCTTATCACCTGTTAATGATTAGTCTGATTCCAGGAGTAAACGAGATCTGGGAATAAAAGTATGGTGCATGGTTTTCACGAAGTGGGGTCAAATATCCTCGTTTGATAAGATAGAGGGTTTAGGGAAAGTAACACTGAGAGTACTGCCTACAAACAATGCACAAAGTAATAATAAGTCGCTGGTCACCAGCTTTATGCTGCATCATACTTTCCATTGGTAGTTTGTTTTTGTCCAATGGGATTGACGTTATTGTTAAGAAGTGACGAGGCCAGATCCAAATTCTTTCACCTGCCGAGGATAAATTGAGATCTTGTTGACTATGAAAGCCCAAAATAACTCTTAAGCACAACCTTTTGTGGATGCATCGATGGGTTCAACGGGATGAACTTTTCGACGTTTGGCAGAATTTCGATCTGATGACTCAGGCCTTTGGCAAATCTATACAACATTCCCTACTAATACACAAGACTTAATTTACTCAACTTTTCAATAAACAGAGAAATCTTCAGCCTGATAAATTGAAATTAGAAAATGAAACTTGCAGAGATTCAGTTTATAAAATAACAAATCGAATTTGATATGCTTAGTACGTAAATATCTCTTAAATTCTAGCCATTAGCGAGAAAGATCAGTTGGTTTTTCACTTTTGGGGATCAAGTACCTAAACACGTGGTTAAGTAAAAAGAAACATTGATAGAGTGAATCGCACAACAACGTTTTTAATAATATGATCAGGCATCTTCCTGTGTGTTTTGTTCATCTCTCCCTGCTTCACGTTTCAAACAAAGGAGAATAAATGGAAGGAGAGACCCAACCACTCCAACTCCACCAGCTACAATGAACGCAACGATGTAGTTACCGAATGTGTCAGCCATTAGACCTGATAAGAAAGATAACAACAAAATGTCTCAAAAAAAAAAATGGCAGGTATATAAGGTGTCTTTTGTCTGTCTTGGTAATTTGGTATTATCAACGGAGTTGATAACGTAAATTGGTCACCATAAAGAGTTTTAAAGCTGACGTTTCGAAACGCTCGAAACGTCAGCTTTGAAACTTTCTACGGTGGTCAATTTACGTTATCAACTTAGTTGATAATACTAAGTTACCCTGCTATACTCTCCCACTGACGCAGCACCACAGTTTCTTTCGAAACTTACCCCGTTAATTCATTTGTCTGTCTATTTTGAAGTCCTTCAAACATCAGAATTTTACGTTTTTCTCTCTAACGACCTATCTGCCTGTTTGACTCACTTCAATTGTTGTTGATATTTTTGAAAGACTCTTTATTAGGATTAGGTAGCCAAAGGATGTACAAATTGATGGTTCCAAAGTTTTCGTCATGGATATGAGAGCCAAAGGGGAGAATCTTTCAACGCTGTTAAAATGCATGCTCCAACAACAGCGTCGTCTCATAGTCGTCGTCTCTCTATTATTATTATTTATGACTTTTCTGGAGTGGGTGGGAGTCGCCATAGGAGCACATCTCATAATTACCCCGTATATAGCTTGTAAAGAGAGGGGGATATATTCTCAGTCCCCCGGAGGAGGGGTGGAGTATAAAAGTGGAAAGACAAAATTGGTCCCCTACCCGACAAAGGTGGACCGATCAAGGCAGAAACTCCGGAAAACAGCATTAGCAATCCAACGGCGGAAGCCTTTTCATCTTCCTTTACGGCTTTTAGGGTTTCAACTATCATTGAAGTAATCATCAATCCATCCGCTGAACTGAAAAAGATGGCATAAGTGAATACACCAAAGTAAGTCTTCGCCAGGGTCAGAAGTATAGTGGAAGCTGCCATAATGAAAATAGCTGCCTGAAGCAGAAGGCGGCTGTTTACGAACTTCAAGTCGCACAGGAATCCTCCTCCGATGCGGCCAAGAGAAGCAAATATGCCGATAACCATGTAAATTGTCGAGCTCTTGTCGGCCAAAATACCAAGGTCATCACAATGCTTCATCTGAAAATGCCAGCAAATGTAAGTTAGACTATGGAAATCAATGATAATCAATAGGTTAATCTGAGTTGTACACTGAATAATCAGAAATCAGACGAAGACGAACAGTGCATCTCAAGCCCTATGCTAGAAATTTCGTCCAAAAGTCGGCGTAAATTAAGACGACTTAGGAACTTAAGAAATAGTGAACTAGACGACTTTTAAGTCTTAAAAGAATGGTCCATTAGTTCTAGATACTCACGAGATGCACATATGGGACCAGGCGAGAGAACATGAGGGCTGCTCCTGTTGTGATTAGTACTAGGATGGTCGAATTCTTAAATAACGATAGATTCCAGCTCCATTTTTTTGAGGAACAATTCATGTTTCTTTCTTGCGATGATGGACTCTGATGAAGAATAACTCCAGCCAGGGATGAAACAGCCAAAAGACCACCAAACACCCGAAAGGTGTTCCTCCACTCTAGAACGTCAACTGCTGCCTGAAGAGAAGGACTAAGAATCATCGTTCCTAATCCCTGTCCTGACGTTACTAGTCCGAGAGCAAAGGATTTTCTTTTATCAAAGTAATTGTTCACTATAATTGCTTCCGAAACGAAGATCAGCGACTGACCCATTGCAAAAGGTATGCTGAAGGTAACATAAAGCATATAAATAGTGGAAACAAAGGAGCCCAATGTGACGCCAAGAGAACATAACAGGCAGCCCACTATTGTTGTAACTCGAAAGCCAAATTTGTTGAGGAAGGCTCCCGTTACAGGACCGAGAATCAAATTTACGCCATGTATGATCGATGCAACCCAAGCTGGAAAACAAAAAAATTCTAGTTACCACCATTACAAACATGTCTCTAATCAGTAATCTCCTCCTAAAATCAAGGTTCTATTGTTATCACGCAATTTTGACTCTGCGATATGTACCTGCATTATTAAGTGACGAGTCAAATATGATCAAGTACCAGGTTTTCAATCTTTTTAGAACCCCACTTCGCTAACTTTTTGTTCAGTTTTGCACAGGACGAATGGGGGTTTTGCTACTTCCTTATCTACTGGTGATGGACCAATCCTGACGCGTAGATTGTGTTTGAATTTGAAATTATGCTGTTAGGGAGAGTTCTTTGTTCTTTTAACCCTAATATAGTGGTTCATTTGGCATTTTTTTTTTTTTTTACTTTTTTTAGCAGTGGCCCTGTCCAGATTTTTGCTTTTGTCTCAGATCCAAAAATATATTCTTATTTAATAATTACAAGTATGATCGAGCTTAAACTTTACGAAAGACCATAAACAGCCCTTATTGTTACACCTGTCCAGTATTACATAAACTGACCTGTACTTTCACGATTTTCCCCGAAAGAATTCATGAAAACGGGAAAAAGAACGCCAAGAGCACTGGTAAATCCAATTGTCAGAATCACGCACAAAGTTGTGAGCCCACAAATAAACCATGACCACAGACTATCTTGCTTGAAAGAGACAATATTACCACAGAAGAGATTCATAGTGATACCAATTTCTGACCAAAAGGCTCTGGTCTCCTCTGCCCTTTTAACTTTGATGTGCCACCACAAAGAACCGTCACAAATAGGTTATCCTACTACAAAGACTTTTGCTTTTAAAAGTTCAACCGGGCGGATTTTCTTGCGGTTGGACCGTTCCTACGACAAAACAAAGTAGTTCTTCCGCCTATGAAAATTAAACCGTGAAAGAGTCTTTGCGGCCCAAACGTCCGAAGAAGTTCTTGCGTTTCTGAAACTTCATCCACAGAGATGTTCTTGTGTTTCGAACATTCTGTGCTAAATGAAGTTCTCCTGACCAACATGTTTGAAAATTTTAACCGCTAAGATGAACGCAAAGAAAAGAAAAAGGAAAGTTCTTGCGCGTTGAACTACTCGGAGTGCCGAACGGGACAATGTTGGCTCGAGCTGATCACGTACAGTTCGACCGCAGCGAGGTCATGTTTGAACCTAAATTGGACACTTTACCAACCTAAGGCGGCAGTGTGCCAGATTAAAAAAAATTCATGTGATAAAAAAAACTTTTTATTTATTTCTTCACAAAAAGTCAGAACAAGTAAAATCGAAAATGCTCAACTTATTTTCTCAAGTCTGCTTTCCTTCTAGTCCACGTCCACTGAGCGAATCCGAACGGCCATAACTTTTAGGACCGGCCTACGTCAACCCGTCCGGCCCTACACACGACAGCGTTTAGGATGGCGTAAGCGGAACCGTATCACTCATGCGATAAAAGATTTCTACACATGTGCTTACTTGTACCATTTTAAATTAATAGCTAGGTGAGGGCCAGTAAGCGTCATTGAGATACTCAGTATATGCTCTAAATATCGACAGTTTTTAATGGCTGCTACTTTAGTGCGATTAGTCACTAGCAAGGAGCTTTCGGGAAAAATTGTTTCGAGCAATTTACCGTTTATCTGTTGTCCACATGACCAACCAAACTGGTCTAAAATTTGTGAGAAGCGCAAACGAAATTTGTCTCCGAATTATAACTGACGATGCCTTTAATAAAGTTTTATCCATGCGATAGATAACTAGTTAGAGGTTAGAGTTTCCGTACGCAACCAAATCTTTCATTCTAAGCATTACTATCTTTTTCAGTTCTTCGATCCCGTGTTTAAGCTCCATGTTCTTATCATTGTTTAGACGCGCGCGAATCTGCTTCGAGTTAGCTCCCTTGTTGTTCAGACGAGAGCAAGTCACGAACGGAAAGTCAAATGTACTTTTGTACATCTTGTTGAAATCTTCCATCTCCTGACTTTCTTCGCTACTAAGGGATTTGATCCGTGCGTAGGCTATCTTAATACCTTTAGTTGTGATGATACATACACTGGTGACAAGACGAAAAAAACACCTTTCTCCATGTATTATTTTGCGTATCATATAAACACAATAACCCTTTACTGACAAGAAACGTCGACTTAACTAATGAATGAAGTAAAAGGATCGACAATACCCAAATAAAAATCGTTAAGTGCGTTGGTGCTGAGCCTCAAGTTCAGAAACTTTCCCCATAATTAAACAGTAACTTTGAAAATGATTTAATTTCGTAGCTTTTTACGAAACGTGATCTGAATACATCAATCATACCTATGATGATAAAGAACTACGTAGATGCTAACAAGTTTGAAGGCCGGATATCCAAACAATTAATTATAAATGTAGCATAACATTAATTTCCTCTCTTGTTTGAAGGGTCAGTTACTTAAATTATTTGACTGGCACGTAGATAAAAGATTTCACGAAAGAATTAGTTGAGCGAACATAACAGAGAACATTAAAATTGGTATGTTACGTTCTTATCACCTGTTAATGATTAGTCTGATTCCAGGAGTAAACGAGATCTGGGAATAAAAGGTGATGATGCATGGTTTTCACGAAGTGGGGTCAAATATCCTCTCTTGATAAGATAGAGGGTTTAAGGAAAGTAACACTGAGAAAACTGCCCACAAACAATACACAAAGTAATAATAAGTCGCTGATCACCAGCTTTCTGCTGCGTCATGCTTTCGATTCATGCTCTCCATTTCCATTAATTTGCACTCGTTTAAACGATTAAGAGACAATTTTGGAACGGATTAGATAGCTGCCAGGAATTAAACAACGGGATCAAGAAAGTGAAAGACTATGGTTTTTGAGAGTAAAGGACCTGGTGAACAGCGAAACTTCTAAAATCTAATCCCCGTATACTCCGGTTCGAGTGACCTGTTTCAAACTTTCAATAACGATGTGTAAATTTTCCACCCATTGATTTATGTTTCATTTGAGCAATTCCTATGAAAAACCAAGTAGGTTTTCGCCTATGAAAACTCAACCGTGAAAGAGTTCTTGCGGCCCAAACATCCGAAGAAGTTCTTGCGTTTCTGCAACTTCATCCACGGAGATGTTCTTGATTTTCGAACATTCTACGCCAAATGAAGTTCTCCAACATATTTGAAAAATTTAACTGCGAGGAAGAACGCAAAGAAAAAAGAAAGTTATTGCGCGTTGATTAACTATTGGGAGTGGAAAATGTTTGGCTCGAGCTGATCACGTGCAGTTCGAATGCAGCGAGGTCTGTGCGTCATGACAAAGAGCCAGATATTTCACCTTCCGGCGCCACTTAACTCAGTCAGCCAGCCAGTTCATGATAGTCATCTGAACTCTCACTATATATTGAAGTATTAAAAAATTTTTAATTCATTTTTAAAACTAAATAGGACACGATCGTATATGTAAGAAAGGTGCGCATTGAATAACTACAGCAATAAAAAACTTTTCCTTCTTTCCTCAAGACGAGTCAGAACAAGAAACTCGCAACTTCATGAAGAACGTGACTATTTCCTTTGTTAATGTTTCAAGTCATGTTTGAACCTAAATGGCACACTTGACCTACATGAGACGGAAGTGTACTGAATAAACAAAGAAATCATATGAGGAAAAAACCTTTCATGTACTATTTCAAAAATAAGTGCGGGGGTTTCATCAGGGTTTCCAAACACGAGAAAACTGATGAAAGTACGAAGTCGCAAGCCGAGTGCTTTTATTGTTTTCCATTGTTTGGAAACCCCGATGAAACCCGATGCACGAGTTTTTGAAATAGCTTCTCAATCACGCCTCAGGAATAAAATAAAATGGAAATATTCACGAATTTTTCACATGTTGTCGGCAAGTTTGTTGTTACGAAAAATTGTATTGTGATGGTGATTTGTCTTTTCAGAAACGGTATGAGAAATGTTATCACACCGCTGTGGATGATTATAAAAAACAAGTTTAACTGTATTCTTCATTCTCTTCTGCAATGGCTTTATCACGTTTTCGGCAAGTAAGATATGGAAAGAGGCCAAGTTGTTAAAAAGTGACGTGTTTAAGTCCACTCGTTACAAAAGTAAATGGGCCTCTGGAATATTCGAACAATGGCAGAAAGAGGGATTGATACGTGTTATTAATATTCAAATTAAGAAAGGAGTTCACTGGAGCTTGATGCTTTATCAAACTCAAGGGTTTGATGTTATATGAAACTCATGGATAGCACGTCATTCCAGTGTTTAACCGGGGTTTCAAACCACATGCACGTGACTAAATTGGCGTGTCTTGGTTGGATGATCACCTTATGAATAATTAATTAGTTTGAGAAATATTTCTTCACAAAAAGTCAAAACACGTAAAATCGAAAATGCTCGACTTATTTTCTCAAGTCTGTTCTCCTTTTAGTTTACGTCCACCGTTAGAATTCACTTTCTTGGAAAATGTAACGGAGCCGTGTGAGTGCGAATCTGGACGGCCTTTAATTTCAAGACCGGCCTACGTCAACCCGTCCAGCCCTGCACATTACAGCGTTTAGGATAGCGTGAGCGGGGCCGTACGACTCATAGATAAAAGTTATATACGCAGGCGCTTTCTCGTGCCATTTCAGATTAATAGCTAGGTGAGGGCCAGTGAGCCTCATTCAAATACTCACTATATGCTTTAAATATCAACAGTTTTTAATGGCTGCTACTTTAGTGCGCTTAGTCTACTAATATGGAGCTTTCGGGAAAAATTGTTTCAAATAATTTACCGTTTACCTGTTGTCCACATGACCAACCAAACTGGTCTAAATATGGAGAGAAGCGCAAACGAAATTTGTCTCCCAATTATAACTGACGATGCATTTAGTAAAGTTTTATCCATGCGATAGATAACTAGTTAGAGGTTGGACTTTCCGTACGCAACCAAATCTTTCATTCTAAGCATTACTATCTTTTTCAGTTCTTCGATCCCGTGTTTAAGCTCCATGTTCTTATCACTGGTCAAACGCGCCCGAATCTGCTTCGAGTTAGCTCCCTTGTTGTTCAGACGAGAGCAAGTCACGAACGGAAAGTCAAACTTATTTTTGTACATCTTGTTGAAATCTTCCATCTCCTGACTTTCTTCGCTACTAAGGGATTTGATCCGTGCGTAGGCTATCTTAATACCTTTAGTTTTGATGATACATACGCTGGTGACAAGACGAAAAAAAACACCTTTCTCCATGTATTATTTTGTTTATCATATAAACACAATAGCCCTTTACTGACAAGAAACGTCGACTTAACTAATGAATGAAATAAAAGGATCGACAATCCCTAAATAAAAATCGTTAAGTGCGATGGTTTAGAAACTAACCCTTAATTAAATGGTAACTTTGAAAATGATTTAATTTCGTAGCTTTTTACGAAACGTGATCTGAATACATCAATCATACCTATGGTGATAAAGAACTACGTTTGAAGACCGGATATCCAAGCAATTAGATGTAGCATAACATTCAATTTCCTCTCTCGTTTGAAGGGTCAGTTACTTAAATAATTGGACTAGAACGGAGATAAAAAATTTCATAAAAGAATTAGTTTAGCGAACATAACAGAGAACATCAAAATTGGTACGTTACGTTCTTATCACCTGTTAATAATTAGTCTGATTCCAGGAGTAAACGAGATCTGGGAATAAAAGTATGATGCATGGTTTTCACGAAGTGGGGTCCAATATCCTCTCTTGATAAGATAGAGGGTTTAGGGAAAGTAACACTGAGAATACTGCCTACAAACAGAGCACAAAGTAATAATAAGTCGCTGGTCACCAGCTTTATGCT